AACACTGTGAACGAGAAAGTCCAAATGCGATGGCTTACGTCCTCCACCTGGGTCGCATGTGTGTTCGACAGGGGCGCACATGATCTCTCCTTGGACCTGTGCTAGGAACCCCGACTGGGCGAGTGCAGCTGGGCTGAGGTTCCAATCGGCAATGACAAACCAAGGAAGCTGAAGAGAGCGAAGGAGGCTCCCAAGCTTCCTGAAACGAGTTAAATTGGGTCCTCTCATGCCGACACTGCAGAACCCATAGAAAAGAACTGCTACGATGGAATAACCACGGAGATGGAGGACAATGGGCAGGAAGCCATCGAGGGAGGGGTGAGGGAAAGACTGGAGGTCCTTGGACTGGACCGCCTCGAGGAGAGGGTGGGCATGGAGATGCCCTCTGGGAAGAAACCACTCTCCACCCTCATTCGCGTGTGAAACTGCGGACATGGATTCAGCCTCAAGATGGGAATCCACAGTCCACCCTTCAGAGTCAACACGCGATGTGGGTCGAGCAACGTTGGCGAAGAGCCTGTGATTGATAGACCTGAGCCTCCCCTGCCACTGTGATACACTGGCTGCATTGGCGTGGGTCTCGACGAATCCGATATAGTCATCACTGCTGGCCTGAATCCACTCATGGACTTTTTCACCGAAGCAAGTGACATTGCTGAAGAAGAAACTACTGGTACTGGTAGGAGAGTTGGCATCACCTTCCCCCGTGATGCTGGGGCCACCTCCGCCTAGTCAATGTGAGGTGGCTCGCTTGGTGGCGGTGGTGCGGCCGTTCCCCTTGCCTGCCGTCGGTGCAGCCGTCTCGGGGGCACCGTCCTTGTTCACGGCGGCGTGGGCGGCGAACTTGGCGGCGGACAGGCGAGCGGCCTCAGCGGCCAGCGCAGCGTCTTCCTCCTGCTGCTGCGCCTGCGCCTGGGCGGCTGCTGGTGGCGGCTCAGTTCCAGCGTCGGCGGCCTCGCCCGAGCTGGGGGGCTGTCCAGCGCCAGAGTGGCCACCAGCGGGCGGGGCTGCCCCAGGCATGGTGCTGGCTTGGCCGCCGTCGCCCTTGCGCTTCTTCTGGTAGCGTGCCTCGCGTGCCTGCCGCACGGCTGTGGCACGGCTGATGAGCTCCTGCACCTGGGGGCCCTTTGTGGCGAACTGCTGCTTGAGCTCCTCGAGCCCCTTCTTGACGGCGTTGAGCTCCTGCTGCTCGGTGTCGGTGAAATCGAGCTCCTCGATCTGCTGGAAGAGCGTGGGGTCCCACGAGACTGTGAAAGGGGCCTCGGGTGGGTCGGGCTTGCTGGCGGAGTCCTTGGCGCCATCAGGGTGTCCGACTCCTTCGGCATGTGCCAGCGCCTGAGCAGCCCTGCGCTTGGCAACCTCCGTCTTGGCGACCTCGAGGGCGGCCTCGGCCTCCTTGGCCTCTGCCGTGGACAAGGCCTTGCGGAGCCGCACGACGTTGGATACGACCTGATTGTGGTGGTTGACCGCACTGCGCCACGCACCGTCTGCCTTCCGCATGGCCTCAACCTCACTGACCTTGGGCTCGGGTTCCTGGGCGCCGAGGCGCTGCATCTGAGCAGCGAGGATGGCCTGCAAGGCGGGGTCGGTGGCAGCCGCAAGTGCCTGACGTAGGTGGTTGGCGAGGGCGTCGTTGTCAGCACGCGGCGTCGCCGTCTCGCGGCGAGGGGCGGCTGGCGGCGGCGTGTCAGGGTCTATGATCTCCTCGGGCCTGAACCTCACCTGGCTTGGCGAACGGGAGCGGCCGCGGTGCATGCGCACGGGCCGGTTGCACCGTGGGCATGTGGGGGCCAGCGGGTCGAGGCGATCGTTGTACTCGCACGTGTTGCAGCCGCGGCAGCGCGTCCAGGGACGCGATGAAGAATGCCAGGCTGCAGTGCCGCGGGCAGCCTGGCTGGTGCTGCGCGGCGGCGGGTGGGTGCGAGCCATGAGCCCCAGCTTTGGTCGACCGTAAAACCTGCAAGGGAGCGGGTGCACGGAAGTCCCTCAAGCACCTCGCGGAGGTACTGGGGCAGCCCTGGGAAAAGGGGCCAGGGCCGAAGTGGCTTGAGGAGGAGGAGGAGGAGGAGGAGGAGGAGGAGGAGGAGGAGGAGGAGAGAGGAGAGGAGGAGGAGGAGGAGGAGGAGGTGGAGGAGGAGAGAGGAGGGGAGAGGAGGAGGAGGAGGTGGAGGAGGATTGGGAGGAAGGTGGGGGCGGAGGAGGTGAGGAAAAGGCGGGGAAAAGGAGAGGAGGAGGGGGAGGAGGAGGAGGAGGAGGAGGAGGAGGAGGAGGAGGAAGAGGCGGAAACGGAGGAGGATGAGGAGAAGATAGGAGGAGGCTGGGAAGGAGGACGGGGAGGAGGAGGGGGAGGAGGGGGGGAAAGGGAAAAGGAGGAGGAGGAGGAGCAGGCGGAGAAAGAGGAGGGAGGAGGAGGGGGAGGAGGGGGGGAGGAGGAGGAGGAGGAGGAGGAGGCGGAGGAGGAAGAGGAGGAGGAGGAGGGAGGAGGAGGAGGAGGAGGAGGAGGAGGAGGAGGAGGAGGAGGAGGAGGAGGAGGAGGAGGAGGAGTGAGCGGAGGAGGAGGAGTGGGAGGAGGAGGAGGAGGAGGAGGAGGACGAGGAGGAGGAGGAGGAGGAGGAGGAGGAGGAGGAGGGGAGGAGAGGAGGAGGAAGGGTAGAGGAGGTAGGGGAGGAGGAGCAGAGGAGGAAGAGGAGGAGGAAGGGGAGGAAATGGAGGAGGATAAGGAAGAGGAAGAGGAGGAGGAGGAGCAGAAGGAGGCGGAGGAGGAGGAGGAGACGGAGAGGAGACGGAGGAGGAGACGGAGGAGGAGGAGGAGGAGGAGGAGGAGGACGAGGAGGAGGAGGAGGAGGGGGAGGAGGGGGAGGAGGAGGGGGAGGAGGAGGAGGAGGAGGAGGAGGAGGAGGAGGAGGAGGAGGCGGAGGAGGAGGAAGCGGAGGAGGGGGACAACGATATTTGTTTGGATCTGCGGCTCCAAGGACGGCTCCAGGGAGCGGGTCAATCTCGACAGGGGCGCAATGCGAGACGATTGGCAACGAAGGCACATAGGCCAACCCCGCAGTGCACGTACGAGGGACAAAATGAACCTCAATAGAGCCGACCCGGGGAGGGAAGGCAGCAGACTGGAAAGCCGGCGGAGGGTCGCACTGCGGCGCCAGCCCCCGCAGACCAAGCCTGCGAGAAAGCGGGAACGCTGTGCGGGCAGCACAGAGCCCGAGGAAAGGCACCGCCAAACGCGGCGAGGAGGAGCAAAAGGGGAGACAGGCGCAGGACAGGCGCGGGCGGCGACGAGGAGAGGGGGGGGAGGAAACCAGGCCTCACTCACAGAACACCTCACGTGCTCGAAGCCAGAGTCCCAGCTAGCACCTTCCTTGCCACGGTGGAGGGGGGAACGCAGCGAGGTACCACGTCAGAACCACGTGCGCGAAGCCAGGTGCGTCCTCGAATGCCGGGCCTCAGGTCCGGTCAGAGTCCCAGCTTGCACCTTCCTTGCCGCGGTGGATGGGGGGAAAACGACGTACCACGTCAGAACATCCCGGCAGGAGACCTGCGGACCTGCCCGTGAGAGAACCGCTGGGCTGTCGTAAACCACGTGGGCCGAAGATTGTGGGATGTTGGCGTGGTTGCGCGCGCTGGCAACAAGTCCGACCGGAGGAAGGGGGCGATGCCGCAAGCGACGCCGGGGGCCGGGGGGACGGGCCAGCCAGGTGAGGGCTCAGACCAGCCAAACGATGGACCACTCGTCCAGGAACCCAGTCACTTCAGGCCCACCCGCCGCGGCCAGCGGGGGAACGATCCTCGCTGCGGGGAGAGGTGGCCCTCACGGAGCGAGCACGTGTGCGTTGCCACGATGGGGGGAAGCCCAGTGGCGTGAACACCACTGGCGCGCGTGGAGGAGAGAGAGAGAGAGAGAGAGAGGGGCGCAGCCGATAGCCGCAAAGCAGGTAAATAAAGGAGGAGGGGAGAGGGGCAAAGCCGGTGGGCCAGGTGGCGGCAGTAGCCGCAGAGGACCCAACACAGTGTTGCAAGTGTGGGAGGACAACGATACGCGCAGCGCAGTTATCTTTGCGCCCTGGCGTGCGACCGCACCCCTTTGCACGGCAAACCACAAGCCGCAACGCGCAGATTGCACCGCACAGAGTGTGCACCACCTGTGGCGCCCCGCATCCGACAGGCACTCTGAACTCGTCATGCGCAGTCGACGCCCGGACAGAGTCACTTCAACGCCCCAGGCCAAATCATAAACTGGCATACATGTTGTCACATATCTGGTACGAATGGCTTACATGGACCGATTCTGGCCAGGCCCATTCTGGGGCTAGGACCGCGGAGAACTGGCCTCGTCAGGAAGTCACGTGCACCAATCCCTGGCCCATGAGAGTTGCGGCCAGGGGCCGTGCAGAAATAAGACCATGAGTAGTCGGCGGCCGTCCCACCCAATTCCCATCATATCAAAAGTGGGCCCATTCCAAGGCGCATCTGGACTCCACCCAGACATCCCTGTCGAGCCGTCTCCAGCCGCGGCGAGGATGCCCCCCCCCCAGAAGGCACAGAAGGGGAAGAGACGGGGAGGAGAAGGGGAGGAGAAGTAGAATGCCTGGTAGCTGCAGTCCTCGCGCTGCCACAGGGAAGGCTGGATGAGGAACCAAGGGGCGTTTCTGGCTCCGGCCAGCCGTGGCCACCATTACGCCCCCCGAGCCCCCCTTGAACCCGAAGTGGCCCCCAACTTCAGCGCTCCGGCTGCAGCCGGCGCTCCCCGGCATGAGGAGAACGTGCGCGCAGGCAGGCAGGCAGAGAACGTGCGCGCAGGCGCCCGGCAGGCGGCGGCGGCGGCGGGGCGGCGGCGCGGCGGCAGCGCAGCTGCGCGGCGGCGGCGCGGCAGCGGCTGGTGGCGACGGGCCTGCGGCGGGCAGCGGCGGCGGCGCGGCGGCGGCGCGGCGGCGGCGCTGCGGCTGCAGCGCGGCGCGGGGCGGCGGCGGGCGGCGGCGGCGCGGCGGCGGCGGCACCCACAGGCGCCGGAGTCGCCGAGGAGCGCGCGCAGCGGGGCGCGCCAGGCCAGCTCCGCCTCGGCCCCGCCCGCCCGCGGGGCGCCACGGCGCGCTGGCCACCGCCGCCGCCGCCGCCGCCGCCGCGGCGTGCTCGCCGCCGTCGCGGCCGTCAGCGTCGCCGCCTTCGGTGCTGGTCGCCGCCGTCGCTGCCGCCGCTGGTGGTTGCCGCTTCCGCCGTCGCCGCCGCCGCCGTCGACACCGCGGTCCGTCGCCGCCGCCCCTCGTCGCCGTCGCCGTCGAGCGGCGGGGGGGGCCGCAGAGAGGGGGGGGGGAACCGCGCGCACGCGGGGCTTGGATGCCAGAGGAGGGCTTGCTGCATCCACAGCCTCTCGCTGTCGAGTACATGCACGAGTGACATTGGGCAAGAGTCCGTCCTTTGGTGCGCGGTCTCAGGGGGCCACGGGGAGGGGGGTGGAATCCAGGCACGCCAGCCTAGGAGAGCTCCAAACAATACACCACCGCCAGCCCTGGCCAGGCCCTTCCTGGGCCCTGGACTGCTGTACAGGCCCCCCCCCCAGCCTAGGCCTGGAGGTCTGTACACCAGTCCAGGGCCCAGGATGGACCTGGCCAGGGGTGGTGGTGGTGTATTGTTGGCGTCCCTCCGACAACCATTGCTGGAAGGACCCCTGTGGGCCCGCACCAGAGGTCACTCGGGCGAAGGGTCACGCCCACACTGGCCGGCGTTGGCTGGCGCCAAAAGGCCCGACGCAGCTGCCCCCCCAACTAGCACAAAGTCCCGCGCACACAATCGCGGGTCTTACCAAAGCGGGGTGCGGAGCAGCTGATTACAACGGGGAGTGCAGAAGTAAAGCCCCAGTCATCCGACGGTGCCAGACTTTCCAGTGCCATGCCCCAGACGGAGGAAGAGGAGGAGAAGGAGGAGGAGGAGGAGAAGGAGGAGGAGGAGGGGGGAGGAGGGGGGAGGAGGGGCAGGAGGAGGAGGAGGAGGAGGAGGAGGCGGAGGAGGAGGGGCACCCTGGAGGGAAACAGGGTGCTTCTTGGCATGGGCCCCCACTGTATAGCGATCAGTTCTTTCGGTCTGGGCGCTTTCCTGGATTTCGGCCTCCAGGGTCCGGCGTCGGTCCCCAGGACATGGTTCTCGTCCTCCTCCTTCTCCTCCTCCTCCTCCTCCTCTTTCTCCTCGTCGTCGTCGTCCTCCTCCTCCTCCTCCTCCTCCTCTTCCTCCTCCTCGTCCTCCTCCCCTCTGCTGTTCTCTGGCCCTCTTCAGATCGGCTGCAGGTTGGGGAACACGCAGGCGCGGGCGAGGCTCGCGGTGGCTGGAAGCGCGCTCTGTGCTTAATTCAGCGTTTGTTTTTTTGCTTTTGCTTTTGGCAGCACGATGACTGCGCAGCGGAGACCCATGCCAAGCAACGCCCAGCTTGCCTCCAGGGTGCCCTGGGTTTCTGGAGTTTCGATGGTTTTGCTGCGGAGAGCGTGACGCTCCGTTTCAGGGTTGGGTGTCTTGTGGAAGGCTTCTTGTGGCCTGGCCTCCGCCGAAGACCTGGAGCGCCAGCACTGCTGTGCACGCGCACGCGCGACGGCGCAGCGGCCGTCCGCGGAGGCTTGCGCAGAAGAAGAAGAAAGGACTGCACACAGTCATCGGCCTGAACCAAGGAACGATCAATAAGGAACGAAACCTTTCTTCCAGTGAGTAACGCAGAGAGAACGATGGATCATAGATATATATATATATATATAACGCATACGGAACGATCAATAACGCATGCAAGCTTAAGGAACGACCGAACCCCTTTTGAAAAGTGAGTGTTCCTTGTTCAAGCCGCTCACTGTAGGCGTATGGACGTTCGGAGCTCCTCGCGGAGTTCTTGGATCGGCGCTCGGCCAACTCAGGGGGGAAGCATCAAGCTGGAATCGACGATGCATGTCGCATGGGGGAAGCGGGTCCTGAAGGAAACGTGCCCTGGACCCTCAGGCCTTCCCCCAGGACGATATGTTCATCCTGAATCGTTTTCTAACAATCCTGGGGCCCGTGGCCACGAGAGCCCGCAAGCGGCGAAAAACCTCAGGACCCGTTTACTTCAGGACCCGTTTCCCCCATTCGAGTAGGGGATCGACTACAGAATTGACGTGCCCCATATTTGATGTTCCGTCGAATCTACAAACGTTCGGTGTAGTGCTCCTCAGATCTGCGGAGGCTTCTTTGTACATCTAGTAGATCCGATGGAGTAGCATGTTTGGGGCAAGCGGATTCTGGAATCGATCCCCTATTTGACCCATGGCGATGCATGGTCGATGGATCGGCGACAGGCCCCTGTCCACCGGGGGAGGCCTGGGACGGGCTTGCGGTGTGCGGCGAGGTCGGCAGGGGGGCGCCACGGGAGGCACAAGGGCACACTGGTACTACATGTCCCCCTTGGAGGCGCGCGTCCGACCCACACAAATATCGTATAACGATCCTGTGGAGTATCGCTTCCCGAGAGGTATGGCCAGGAAGCGCACGCCGCGGAGCCCATACTATAAGATTTCTGGCGCGCGCATCGCCCTGGGGGGGGGAAGAGGGAGGAGGAGGAGGAAGGACGAGGAAGAGGAGGAAGAGAAGGAGGAAGAGGGAGAAGGAGGAGGAGGAGCAGGAGGAGGTGGAAGAGGAGGGAGAGTGGGAGGAGGGGAAGGAGGAGGGGGAGGAAGAGGAGGAGGGGGAGGAAGAGGAGGAAGGAAGGAGGGGTGTGGCGACCCACACATAGTTTGTCTGGTGGGGTGATGTCGAAGTCAGGGGCGCGAGGGTTGCCCCGACCCCGCCCCCCTCCCCCTGGAGGCCCGAAGCCACCGGAGGCCCATACAACAAGGGCCAAAGCCACAGATATCCGACGGTGCTCCCTAGATTTGCCTTACCAGATTTGCCTTAGATATGCTTGTATAACCTGCGATGAGTGTGAGATCTCTGGATCTCCAGAAGATATTCCTACGAGTTGAATGTCAGTCCAGCCGTCGTTCCTAGACTTCGGCATATCTGGGGCCCGTGATTCGGTCCCAAAGCACTGCATTCAAGCACGGATCTGGGGTGAAGAGCTCCCCCAGGGAAGAGGAGGAGTGAGTGAGTGAGCGAGTGGGAACAGTCGCGATGCGAGTCGAAACGAAACTATGATCGCTGACGGGCGAGCATCTCGGCCTTGCTTGAAGCCTTCGGCCATCAAAGATTCGATCCGATACGGATCCTCAGCTCGATTCGCATTCGTTAGCCTGAGACATTCCTGATCCAGGCTCCTGAGGACACTACTGGCAGAATGCCCGCACTGTGAACAACACCATAATCCCAAGGATTGATGAAGACGCATTTTGTGGCTACCGTGTACCCAGCCCGCCCCCTCCCAAACATGTAATTCAACCACCGACAGCAGCGCAGAAAACCTATCATCGACAAGAGTGGGTCTAAAGCACTGGGTTAAAATTCCACTGGGCGTTGGAGGCCTGCGAGGAGAAACTACAGCAGACCTTACAACGGTTGCCAAGATCGAGAACGAGACTGGTCGCAGACTGCCTGCACACCGACGGGGCCGGAGGCGGTGATGCTTCAGGCGCCCCATCTGTTCTCCCCAGCGGTCATTCCTGTTGCACCAGCTCGCCCTCTGCAGGCGGACTCGGCAAGCCTGACTCGGCGTGCCACGCCCGCCGCCATCTCGTCGAGCGCCGTACTGCCGACAACCAGCCGGAGCGCGTTTCTTTATGCTCGGCGATGACGGGCGTCATGGGGGGGGAGGCGAGGGGACACCTATGAAGGGGCCCCAGGACGCACAAATAAATACACAGAAAATCAAGATATTCCCCATATGTTCCTCTATGTTCTGGGTTGTTGTCTTCCCGCCCAATTCGCATATTTTCCTATATTTTCTTGGAAATCGACGATTAATTGTGTCTGTGTGTTTTTTTTCCCTCCTGACCCTATGCGGACTCCTACGCGAACACCTACGCGGATCCCAGAACGCGCGGCGGCAGCGCACACTGGGGGGGGAGCGTTACGTCATAGGGAGGGGGGAGCGGGAACCATGACGCCCATCATGCCCCAAGCAGTAAAGAAACGGGCTCCTGCCACGGCGCAACTCCGCGGATCACCTGCTGCGGGGAAACATGCGCGTTCACAAACAAACAACACAACCAAATTCAGCCTGACTGCGCCCAGGCAAAGCCACTCCGATGTTGTGCCACAAATCGACAACTTCCCCTCTGGGTGAGGCTTATCTCCGTGCATACCAACCGTCAACAACTCCACGATTGTTTGTGACAAAATAAACGCGCCCGCTGGACATCCTGATGACGACGAGTAGCGCAAACAATTCACCCCTGGCGACGCTCTGTCGTACCCCTGGGATGCCCCCCGACACCGATCCGTCAAGGGCCAGGGGGTCGAAGCTGCTCACGCTGATGACCGCCAAGCCGACGTGTCCGAACCTGTCGTCGGCCGAGTCCACCCCCCCGGAAGCTCGGAGGTACGGCGGCGGATGTCCGGGGCCATGGAAAGATTGAATCCCCCTTGATGTCGCTGTCGCTGACGATCGCTCTGCCAGTGACATCTCTCTCGGCCTCCTACTCTTGCCCTTTTCACCCCTCATTCTGCGGGCGCCCCCTCCTCAGAGTGGAGGAGGAGGAGGAGGAGGAGGAGGAGGAGGAGGAGGAGGAAGAGGAGGAGGAGGAGGGAAACTCTCCAGAATCGGGCCGCGGAATTGGGCGCCACCCCTCCGACCTCGACCCGGACACCCTCGACAGAAAGTCGGGGGGCGCGCGCAGAGGGGGGCCCATGGGAGGGAAGAAGAGATGGAGGATCCCGTATGTATGAAGCAGGAGGGGGGAGGGACGAGGAGGACAGAAAGAGGATGATGTGATGAACAGGACGCTGCTGACGTCGGGCAGAGCGCTGCCGCAAACATGAGGAGAAGTAAGAACAGGAGGACGAGGAGGACGACGAGGAGGATGCGCCAGAGGACGAGGAGGAGGAAGAGGAGGAGAAGGATGAGGGAAGGGGGGAGGGGGGGGAGGTGGAGGGGGGACAGCGAGCGACCCAGACCCTTGACCCCCGACGCCAGGATGGTTCCACCACAACTTTCGACTCCTTCCTCAGGACCGGCCCATCATCCCGTGGCTCGTCGACGGCCCCTATGCCTGGCGAGGCCACGCGGAGGCACAGACTGGCAAACAATCCCCCGTCGTGATCTTTGCATGCGCGTGTCGGTAGAAGAAAATTGGGACGCACAGAAGACTTACAAAATACGACATGTCCCCCTTGGAGGCGCGCGTCGGACCCGAACATATCGTATACCCATCTTGTAGCGCATCGTTTTCCCGAGCAGGGTGGCCAGAGAGCGCCCGCCACGACGCATATACTACTGATAAGAGCTCTCAGTGCGCGCGTCGCCCCAGGGGGGGGAAGAGGGAGGAAGAGGAAGAGGAGGAGGAGGAAGAGGAAGAGGAGGAGGAGGAGGAAGAGGAGGAGAAAGGATGGGGGGGGGTGGGGGGCAACCCACACATATTGTATATGGGGGGGGGGGCAACCCACACATATTGTATGAATATTGTTGGGGTGACGCCGATTTTTCATATACATCTATATTTATATATTTATATATACATATATATATATATAGATACTCCCTGGACCCGCTCAGGGGCGCCCTCTGGCCAGGGAGCCTCCCTGCGGATCCAGCCCGTGGCGGCCAGGAGCCCCCCCCCTGGGGGGCCAGAGGTGTGGCGGGGGGAAGCGCCGACGCTCGATCCTCGGAGCTGCTAGGCCCTCGACGTCATGCTCTGCAGAGGAGCCCAGGAACACACACACACACACACGCACACACACACACACACGCACACACACACACGCACACACACACACACACACACACGCACACTTTTTGGCCGGCGGGGCGAGAGCGAACCTCTTCCGCCAAAAGCTAGGCGGGCTACGCACAGCTTTAATCAGGGAGACAGGGCACAAGGAGGCGGGGCCTCAGGCGGCCGGAGCGGGCGGAGCCTGGGGTGCAGGCGGTGCCGAAGAGCTTGCACAAGAAAAGGTACGCCGCGGACAGGGACCGGGGGCGAAGACCCCAGGAACACACACATACATCACTTAGCACAAATCCCGGGAGTCCCATTTGTGCTACCATGTTCTCTGGGTGTTCGTCTTCCCCCCACTGTGCATCTGTTCCCACATCTTCCGGGGGATCGACGATTCCTGGTCTCTGTGTGCTGGGTTCCCTCCTGACTCGTTCCATCAAGTCGATACCGAGGCCTCGACCCAATCCATGTTCTCTGGGTGTTCATCTTCCCCCCACTGTCCATATGTTCCCACATCTTCCAGGGGATCGACGATGAATTGTCTCTGTGTGCTTGTTCCCCTCCTGACTCTCCTCATAAAGTCGATACCCAGGCCTCGACCCCATCCCCGGGACCAGCTGTTCGTTCTGAGCTCTCCTGTGACGGCCCCGCAGCGCAGCGAGGGCCCCCAGGAATGCCGACCACTGCCCCCCCCAACCCCAGCTCCCCGGTAGGGGTTATTGCCTTGGTTCCTCAGGCAGTTGAGTTGGTATCGTCGACTGCTCGCCACGCTGCGAGCCCGCGCCTCCTCGTGAGCGCCTCATGGGCGCCTCTCGCTTGGCGGGCACGCCGAGGTTTGCGCCGCGCTGCCGCCCGTTGTGCCTCGTGGGCGCCTCGTGTGCGCCTCGCGCCACCGCCATGCTGCTTCCCATGGCTCGAGGGCGTCTGCGAGCCGAGGGCGCTGGCTGGGCGAGAGACAAAGGCGCGGCCGCGGGGCCGCAGCAGCCCGCCTCGGCCACCGCCGCCGCCTGCAGGCCCACCACGTCCAGCCGGGCCCCGGGGCGGATGCAGGCCGCCTCGCCCCCCCTCCGCTCCAGCAGGAACGGGGCTTCTCCTCCTCCTCCTCCTCCTCTTCTTCTTCTTCCTCCTCCTCCTCCTCCTCCTCCTCCTTCTCGTCCTCCTCCTCCTCCTCGTCCTGCTCCTCCTCGTCCTCCTCCTCCTCCTCCGCCTCCTCCTCCTCCTCCTCCTCCTCCACCTCCTCCTCCTCCTCCTCCTCCTCCTCCTCCATCGCCGCCGCCATCCGCCCTGGCGCCGCGACGAACATCACGACGGAACGCTTCCGGCAGCTTTCGCGGAGGGCTGCCCAGCCTCGGGATGCCCTCTGGCAGCTGAACGCCCCGCCGCGGGCGCTCCGGTGGTGCCCGGAGCCTCCCGGAGGGCCGCGGGAGGCCCGAGCTGGATGGCCCAAGAGCTGGCATGCGTGGAGCTCCCTGTAGGGCTTCGGCGACCGAACATAATCTACTCCAGATTTCGTAATAAAAGGGAGGGGGTCTCAACCCTCCCAGACGAGAAGTTTTAGACCCCCCCAGTGGGAGAACCCTCCAAAACATCGTCCCCAGACCCCCCCAGGCCCTCCAAGATAGCCTGGAAGAGACCCCCCCGAAATGAGACCCCCCTCCCTTTATTACGAAATCTGGAGTAGGCCTCCTGGATGGGGTCCGAGCAGATGGGGTCGGAGGATCGCGCCGCATCGCCGACGCATTGGCGATGCATCAGCGATGCGGCTCGATGCGGGGCCCAGTTTTCTCCACGCCGACGTCGCCGATGCGTCGCCAGCGCAAGGCCGATGCCTCGGCGATGCCTCGGCGATGCATCGGCGATGCATCGGCGACGCGGCGAGATCCTCCGACCCTCGCCGATGGTTCGGCGATGCGGCGACATCCTCCGACCCCATCTGCTCGGACCCCATCTGGGAGACCTAGGCAGACATAGGTTTTGGCAAATGTTGGCCTCCGCAGGCCCTCGCCGGGCCTTGGCACCGTCCAGGGGGAGGGGTCGAGCCCTTCGGGGCTGGCCGTCGCCAAAAATAATCATGACGTCGCGCACGCCTGACATGACCGCGTCGTGAAAAAAGTCACGAGCGAGGCTTTGAGCCGTCCCCTGGCATAGCCCAAAAAAGGCTCGGGATGAAAAGCCGATCCCAGAAACAAAAAGCAACGGAGCACTACTGGGATGTGCGCGGGTGTTGCTAGGGGGGTAGGGGGCGATCGGTGGATGCCAAAGTGTGTGGTATGTCTGGCCACACCTAGCTTCTCTCACTGGGTTGCCAAAGCCCAAAGCGGCTTGGAGCTTAGAGGGAGGGGCTTCGACAACTCCGCCGAGCAGGCGGAGCCCCCTCACAGCCCGGATCGCTACCCTCCCGAAGCCACTTGGGGCGCCTGTGACCCACTCCTGCGCCAGGTCACCCCAGATGAGGCCAGAGGTATCGCCCAGGGCCGATCGGAGATGTGAAAAGGGGCACCAGGGCACCAGAGGCGATCGGAGAAGCCACCTGGGGCGCCTGTGACCCGCTCCTACGCCGGGCCACTCCAGCTATCACCCCGCCCTGGCATCCACTGCTGAGCCCCCCTAATTACGTATCCCCTTGGCACGCCCCGCGCCCTTCCCGGGGGGGGGGGGGGGAGCCTGCGCCGTGGGGCAGTCGCACGGCGTCGGGGGTCCGGCTCCCCGCTGCCCGCCACCCTGTCCCCCCCCCCCCGCCGCCGCCTGCCTGCCTCCCGTCGGGATAGCTTGAAGGGGCCCTGGGACACACAAATAAATACACACAAAGAAATACACACGAAGAAATACACACAAAGAAATACACGCACACTTCACAGGATTCCCCATCGTTTCCCATCTTCTCTGGGTGTTTGTCTTCCCCCCCCCCCGCTCCCCACATCTTCCCGCGTGTTCGGGGGACTCGACGATGAGTTGTCTCTGTGTGTTGTTTCCCCTCTCTCTCGGCGGCCTCGTACTGAGGCTGCGCTCCCCTTCTCACCCCCCTTCTCTGCGTAATTCAAAGCCTCGCGCGGCCCGCTCAGCTTCGACCGGAAGAGGTGCGCTCTCGACCCGCGAATCAACAAAGTGTCTGTTCCCCTCCTGATAGTTCGAGGGCGGGGCCCCGGGGCGCGACGACGAGTTGTCTCTGTGTGCTCGACGACGAGTTGTCTCTGTGTGCTTCTTGTTCCCCTCCTGCCCAGCTCGAGGGCGGGGCCCGCGAGGGCGCGGCCCTTCGCGAGGGGGGCGGAGGCCCCGAGCAGAGCAGCCCCGGCCCGCCCGGCCCCCGCCGCCGCCGCCTGCCACCCGTCGGGGCTTCCGAGGGAGGGCCCGCGGCGCGGGGCCCACAAGGCTCGGGGCCCCGCGCCGGAGGCCCCTTGGCTGTTGGACTCTGGGCACTGGGCCCTGCTGCTGCGCGGACTGCAAGAGAGTAGTGCTCCCCCCGAAGCCTATCGGGGATGGACAGACCCCCCTTTGGTAAAATCTGGTTTAGTGAAACCGACCTGAGGCCCAGCCCTGGTGGGCGCAAGCCTGGAAAATGACGGCCGCGGCCCCGCGTCGAAGGCCCCGTGGATGCGGTAGGGGGAAACAAATGCTGAACGCTCCCCCTCCCCCCAGCCTCAATGTTGGCACGCGCGGGGGAGACTGCGGTCGAAGTGCACCCCATCAGGCCCGCCGCCAGCTTTGAACCTTTGGGGGATTGGGGGGAGGGGGAGCCGTTGACAGATGAATGTGGCATCATGAGTGTTCGCTAATTTGTTCCGGGGCCCGTGTTGGACTCTGGGCATGGGCCCTGCTGCTGCGCTGACTGCTAGAGAGTAGTGCTCCCCCGAAGCCTATGGCCCATAGACTGCAGTCGGACCTGATTGGAGAGGCGCGAGAGGACGCAGGACCCTTCCAGAGGGCCACATGGCCACAGGAACGCAGGCGGCATGGGTCGCAAAACACAGGACACAAGGGCACCCGTGATCTGGCAGGGTCGACCTCCTAATCCGGGCCGCCTGTGGAGTAGTGCTGCCCCAAAGCCCATGGCCCATAGACTATGGGCCATATTGGGCGCCCGAGTTATCCGGGGTAACTCGGGTCCGGGGTAACTCGGGCTCGGAATCCCGAAAAGCGAACACGAGTCAGCCCTAACCCGGGTTACCCCTGATGATTCGAAACTCTGGGCGCCCGAACTATCCGGGGTAACTCGGGCCCGGGGTAACTCGGGCTCGGAATCCCGCAAAAGCGAACCCGAGTTAGCCCTGACCCGAGTTACCCCTGATAAATTGGGGCTCTGGGCGCCCGAACTATCCGGGGTAACTCGGGCCCGGGGTAACTCGGGCTCGGAATCCCGCAAAAGCGAACCCGAGTTAGCCCTGACCCGAGGTACCCCTGATGAATTGGGGCTCTGGGCGCCCGAGTTTTCCGGGGTAACTCGGGCCCGGGGTAACTCGGGCTCGGAATCCCGAAAAGCAAACACGAGTCAGCCCTGACCCGAGTTACCCCTGATGATTCGGAGCTCTGGGCGCCCGAGTTATCCGGGGCAACTCGGGCCCGGGGCAACTCGGGCTCGGAATCCCGAAAAGCGAACCCGAGTTAGCCCTGACCCGAGTTACCCCTGATGATTTGGGGCTCTGGGCGCCCGAGTTATCCGGGGCAACTCGGGCCCGGGGCAACTCGGGTTCGGAATCCCGAAGAGCGAACCCGAGTCAGCCCTGACCCGAGTTACCCCTGATGATTCGGGGCTCTGACCGACCCTCGGCCCAGGATCGGGCCTCAGACTGGAAGGAGGAGGAGGAGGAGGAGGAGGAGGA